CCCCCCCCCCCCATGGCAGCCTGTTCTCCAAACACACGACTTTGGGGATCACCTTGGTGGGAAGAGGAAGCAGCGTGCATGTTGGGGTGCTTTGGGGGGCGGGGTGCAATGGTGGTAGGGGGCGGGACAAAGATAGAAAGGGGCAGGGCTCATGGTCCGGTAATGGACAGTCTGCCTTCCCCCCCCCTGCCCCCTCCTGCAGTCCCACTGGGAGTCTTGGGCCTGATTGTGCAGTCACTTCAGCTGGGACTGGACCACAGGCTGGGAGTCTGAAACTCCTGACCTAACCTGACAGAGCTTTAAAGATTTAAAGACCATAGGAGCAAATAGGGGGAGCCAGTTCAGTCTTTGGAACACTGGTGCCGTGTTCTTTTCGTGGCTAACATTGCTCAGTAGGGCGTGCAGCAGTTGTGGAATTTCCCACTTCCAGAAGGGTCTGACCAGTTGTCAAGGGAAGCCTGTGTGCATTGGTTAGTGATCTAGCAGGCAGTACTTTTCCCGGAGTTAGTGATCAGTGTAGTCCTAAGAGGAGCAGTGCTGCAGATGTGCTACAACGCAAATCTTCAGCCAAACACAATTAAAAACAAGAGCAAGGATATTAACTTTGATGGGTACATTTCAGTTTATGTAATATGTTTTGCCTGCTCTTTACTTCCACTTGGTGACCTTCTGGGTAAGGCTCAGAAATAAGAGTCAAAAGTCCCGGATTTTATTTTCAGATCTACTACAGAATTCCTGTCCAAGTCACTTACCAACCTGTGCTTCATATCCCTCATGTAAATGAGGGTCGCAATAGCTGGCTCACCTGACAGTTATGAATGTATGTAAATCACTCTGAGATGAAAGATGCTATATAAATATAGAGTATTTATTATATTCTGATTTTTTTTTCTGAATGAGAATATTTTTGTAATTTATTCTCCCCCTTGTTCTGGTCTTGCAGTGGATCAAAAGCGATCAGTGACTTTCACTGAAGCTCAGTTGGATGCGACAACATCCCCCAAAACAGATGCCACGCCCACCCCAGCCCTGCAACCTAGCTGCAGCAGGAGCAGCTCTGCAGAAGTCAGCAAGCCAGATGCTGTGAACAAACCTGTGCTGACCTCCTCACCTGCCATTGTTGTTGCTGATCTCCACAGCCAAATCACCAGCCAGGTAACCCATTGGATGAGTCAAAAAGTAGGTTAGCTGCTCCAGTCTCTAGTGGGTACATGCGCCCGCAGTGCCTCTCTTAGTGATTTAAGCTGCTGAAAAAAAATAGCAAAAATCACTGGTGATGTCATTTATGGCCGGAAAGAGAAGTGGTTGGTATGTGAAGACTGCAGAGCAGAGGAGGTAGGTCAGTGAAGTTGCTGCTTGGGGAGGCAAGCTCCCTAGCCTGTGGTCCTGCCTAGCCTCCGTCCCCTTCCCATTGTCTCTCTCTGTTCACCCCTTCCAGCCAATCCCTGAACTTGGATGTAGCAAATGACAGTGGGGGAAAAAACCCCACCCTCTTCTAAAACAGAGCATGTTTTCCACAGCATGCCTGTCAAGGCTGATTCCCCACTCTGGCACGATGAATCCAGAGTACCCCAAAACCTCTCTCCAGGCTTTGGTATAAAGCTTCCCCCCCAAATCTTAAAAACCTAGATTTTAGGGATAAAAATCCGCTGCCACCACCCAAGTAATAGTAAGAAAACCAGGGAAGAGATGACTTGGCAAATCTCAGTCCTAAAGTAAAACCAGGACACAAAAATTAACCAATACCAGGTTAAATAAAAGAAAGAACTTTTATTATCACCACAATACTCCTGTTACAAGCATAATGACTAGATGGAAAAGTCGCCAATTAATATATTCATGGGGGACTCCCATGAGCCAAAAACTGTTACAAAGGAGTGGAAAACCCATTTTTAAATGCACAGACATCAGATTCCCATTCCCAAACCATAAAACAATAAAACCTAATGGATTTATCTAAACTTTACCCTATTTACAGATAGTGAAGAGTCTGAGAACAACTGGCTCAGAGACAAAGGAAGAAAAACCCAAAAATTCCTTTGTCTCAGTTTGAAATCCCTATGTACATTTCTATTGGCTAACTACTACCTGGCTAGGTACAGTTAACCCCTTAGTCAGGCTGCTGTCCATCCCTCATGGTCATGACCATGCCAGATTGTGAAGATTGGACATGCAGAAGGTACTATTTAAAAGCACTCAATTTGGGCATCAAAAATGTCAGCCACGGGTTTTTTTTATATCCCCTGAAGTTTGTCAGAGATTTATTTGCAAAAACTTTGTCATAAGGGCAAGTCAGTTGCCCTGCTCAATACAACATTAAATATTATAGAATACATGATGCGGCTCTTCTCTGATTTACATTTTCTTAATTGGTATTTCTAAAATTATTATAATTCCCAGATTACTACGTATTTAACACACTGAAACAAAGACATTCTATTAAATTAATCAGAGCAGTTTAGTGTGTTCATAGCAAAGTTTATTGCTTTAGAAAAAGGAAATGCTATTTGTGTGATCTACATAAAAATAGACATTTATAAAATTTCACCATATGTTTATATTAAAAATATGTTTCCAAAGATTTTAGGCATAACAAAGGATTTTACATCTTGCTTAGATAGTAATTTTGGTGGTGGGTTTTCTTAAAACTAACTCATCAAATGATCAGAAATAAAGGGGAAATTCATTTGTCCAGATACCTGGGTAAAAAGGGGTGTTGTTCCTTTAAGGCAGGAGTGAGGAACCTTTTTTGAGTTAAGCCTAGTAGATTGTGTGTGCTGCAGCCCCATGGTGGGGCAGCAGGGTGGCTGGAATACCAGAGCGGACTCCCTAGTTCTGGGGGGCCAGGCATGAGTCTTGGAGACCAGATCCAGGCCTGCCTGGTGCCACATTCAGCCCCTGGGCCTGAGGTTCCCCAGTTCTCTTTAAGGCATGGTGGGGAACCTCAGGCCCGACCCCTGGCTTGACTGCATCAGCCCCCAAGGCTCAGGGGCTCCCCACCAAGATTGGGTCCTCTTAGGCTCTGGTGTCCTTCTCCTTCTTGGTCAGGGGCCACATCAGTGATGGTTTGGGGTTTTTGTGGGTTTGTTTTTGTTTCTTTGCTTCTCACTTGCAATTTTTCTGTGGGTCACCCCGCAAGCCAAATAAGTTTCCTCACCCCTGCTTTAAGGGCTCTCTTCAATAAAAGAGAATACAAGAGAAAAATGACAGCAGCAGGGATGAACAGGACAGGAATACATTGGAATCAAGTATTTGTCCTATAGTAATTTAAAATAAAATGTGTATTTTATATGAAGGTGACCATTTGAAGAATTTATTTTAAAAAGTATATGTCTGAAGATCCAAGCGTTTAAGGCTAAAGCTGAATACTGAGATTGTGCACCTAAACACCTTATGCAAGGATTTTTTTTAGAGATGTGATTTTATAATCTTCAGCAACAAACTAATGAAATGTTTAAAGCAAATTTTAAACTAAGGTCCTGTAGACATATTACAGTAATGCACAACTTTCAGAGGGTTAGCCGTGTCAGTCTATTTCAGTAAGAACAAGGAGTTGGCAAAATTTGCAGGTGATTCTAATCTGCTCAAGATAGTTAAGAACAAAGCAGACCGTGAAGAGCTTCAAAGGGATCTCACAAAACCAAGTGATTGGGCAATAAAATGGCAAATGAATTTAAATGTTGATAAATGCAAAGTAATACACATTGGAAAAAAATAATCCCAGTGATGGGGACTAATTTAGCTAAAACAACTCGAGAGATATCTTGGAGTCATTTTGAATAGATCTCTGAAAACATCCGCTCAATGTGCAGTGGAAGTCAAAAAAGCAAACACTGTTAGGAATCATTAAAAAAGTGGTAGAGAATGTGACAGAAAAATGTATTGCCTGTATATAAATCCATGGTATATCCACAGCTTGAATACTGTGTACAGATGTGGTCGCCTCATCTCAAAAAAGATATATTGGCATTGGAAAAGATTCAGAAAAGGGAATAAAAAATTATTAGGGGTTTGGAACAGGTCCCATATGAAGAGCAGTTTAAAAGATTTAGAGTTTTCAGAGGGGGATATATGATAGAGGTCTATAAAATCTTGACAGGTATGAAGAAAGTGAATAAGGAAAAGTTATTTAGTTGTTCCCTTAAGAACTAGAAGGTCACAAAATGAAATTAATAGGTAAGCAGGTTTAAAACAAACAAAAGGAAGTTTTTCATCATGCAGTACACAGTCAACCTGTGGAACTCCTTGCCAGATAACGTTTTCAAGATCAGGACTTTAACAGGGTTCAAAAAAGAACTAGATATATTCATGGAGATTAGGTCCATCAATACTTATTAGCCAGAATGAGTAGGAAGGGTGTCTCTTTGTCAGGGGCTGGAGAAGACAGGAGATGGATCATTTGACCTGTTTCTGTTCACTCCCTCTGGGGCATCTGGCATTGGCCACTGTCGGAAGACAGGATGCTGAACTAGTATGGCTGTTCTTATGAGTCCTGTGGTACCTTAAAGACTAACACATTTATTTGGGCCCCTGAAAGTTTATGCCCAAATTTATAGTAATTACTCATTTAACATGTGCCCGCTTAACACGTTTTCGCAATAGCATGATTTTTTGGGGGGAACGTTTTTCGAATAACACGACTGTTCCCAAAATAACACAAAAATAATCAAGTGGCGGACTACTTCATGTGGCAGTATAAGTTGGTGAAAACAGTGGTAATATGCATGAGTGGATGAATACACATGGTCACAGCGCTCCTCCGCTCACTCGCGTGTTTATCTTTGTATTTTAACAAACCGTGTCTTGTGTTGCTAGTTATCTTGTGTTGCTAGATAACGTTGACATTGATGACTGAGCACCAATAACAAATTGACTTTGCCACCACCACCTGAAACACAATCCCCACCTTTTCCATTATTTTTAATGGGAAAATTGACCCTGTATAGCACATTTTCGCTTAGCACGAACATTTTCAGAAACACATCTATAGTGTTAAATGAGGAATTACTGTATTTTACAGTGCTACAACACTCATTGTTTTTAATGCACAACTGTTTTTGTCAGTAGATTCAGAAACTGACAGTATATAAGTCTCAGAAGGATAGCCATGTTAGTCTGTAACTTTAAAGAAACAATGTGGAATACTGTGGCACCTTAGAGATGAACAAAATATATATTATCATGAGCTTTCGTGGGCAAAACCCGCTTTCCCCAGGTTAGCCTAAGATAATAGATTCCCTCCAGGGGAAAACTCTTCCCAGGCTGCAACAGTCTGTTGTGGGAGCCTGCAGGAACTATCTGAATAGGAATGGGAAAAGGTTGAGCACAAGACATCATTGCCTCCCTTTGCCTCTTATCCCCACTGCTCATGCTGCAGAGTCTGTTTTCCTTACAGTGAGGTGGTAACCCAATACCACTTCTTGTCTAAATTGCCAGTTCCAAGATCTTTGTGTTGATCTCTTTCCTTCCACTTCTGTGGCACTTCACCACTACATGTCCTTCGAACTGCCTTATGTCTTCCTCCACCTGTCTGTGGACTTTTTTCTCTCATACACCCTTCCACACTCTCCTCAGCCACACGGGTCTCTGCAGGGATGATCTGTGAGCGTTGGAGTAGGTTAGACTGATGTATCAGTATGGAAGGATTCCTACAAAAAACACATTACTGCAGTACGTTGACACTGTCATCAGAGTGGGTGATTACAATCTATGTAAACGCACCTGAGTGAATGTTTATCTCACATGACTGCCAGGAGCAGTAGAGCCACAGCACGTGGGCGGCTAGTCTGTGCTGAAATACAAATATTCCCCCGGGTCCAGGACAGGGTTGGATAGTACAGGCTGATACTGTGCCACTGAGCTTCATGCTAGTTAGAGTAAATCACACAGAACTGCAGTAGGGCACCTTCAGGGGCGGCCTGTGAGCCTAGGTGAGCTAGGCAGTTGCCTAGGGTGCCGCTGCCGTGGGCACCCGATGATTATGTCATGGGGCGCCGGGGGTGCCCTGTGATGACATCATGGCCATTGACTTCCATGCAGGCAGGGGCGCCGATTGTGCCACCCTGCCTAGGGCGCCAGCTGCTGCTGCCGGCCTCAGGCCGCTCCTGGGCACCTTTAAAAAAAAAACTCTTTTCTGCTGGAAAAAAGGAGGGTGGAAGATGGACTATCAGAAAATTACAAATTGTAACCAAGAAGTTAGAGCTGAGCCAATGAGACATCTCTTTTTATATGTCCTTTTATCTGGTTGCCACAGGGGATGCATCCTTGGCCATGAGCAGAAGAGACTGAAAAACCCATTTTGGAAAAAATATGAAAAAAATTGTAATGCCAATTCCTCCCTCCAAACTGTAGGGGGGATATCACCTTTGTAGTTTCCACTACAAATTCACCAACCAGGAAAAAAATTATTTTGCATAAAATTTTAGGGTATGTAGCTTTTTAAACAATTCAAATAAACCGAAGCACAATTATGGATTAGTATTTATTAGCTAATGGAGGTTAATATATTTTGCACATACTACTTTTTCATTCTCTCCCTTCCCTCTTTATTCCCCCCTTTGCTTGCCTGTTCTCTTCCCGTAAGTTGGAGCCTGACTGAAAACTCTCCTTGATTTCAGAGTGAGGCACTTCCTACTGAAAAGGAAAAAGGAGAGGAAGATTTGGAGGCAGCACAAGCACATAGCACACCTCCTACACAGCTCTCTGATTCAGAGGACTTTGCAGGCCTTGAGACAACCAGCTTATTGCAACATGGAGACACCGTCCTTCATATCAGTGAAGACAATGGAATGGAGAATCCCCTGCTTACCAGCCACTTCAGCTTCACAAATGTTGAGCTTGGTGAGACTGATGCTGACTTAGACGAGTCCCATGTGTAAAAGTCTGGGAACTAGATTAGAATGGGAGGAGACACAATGTAGAGCATTGCTAGAGAAACTATACCTTCTCTGTAGAGTTTCTTGATGACCATTCATGAACTAATCAAAAGAGCACTTTATTCCACAAGGGAGAATATCTAAGAATCTTATTTTCTATAATTGGAAAGATTTTCTATTGTTTTAGGAAATAAATTAAGCCTTTGGCAAACCTAGTTTGGTTCAGGACAGACCCCCAAAGACCAGAAGAAAATTCTAAAAAATTCTACAGTCATGTATTTGTTTCCCAAAATCTTGATCTGCCAGAAATCTACTGCAGTCTGCAGCTTCTCCAGTAAAATGCATTACTTTAATATTGTAGACTGAAACACCCCACCTTTTTGAGGTTAGCCATTTTAACACTGCATCCCAAAGTTTATTTTTGTAATTTCACAAGGGTTACATAGTATCTGAATAGTGATAGAGATGCAGCTGTGTTAGTCTGGTGTAGCTGAAACAAAAGACAGAACTATGTAGCACTTGAAAGAGCCAAACGAATACCCAGAAACCATCTACTTTAAGACAGATCCAGGAAAACCAACAATAGAACACCACTTGTCATCACCTGTAGCCCCCAACTTAAACCCGTCCGACACATTATCAATAACCTACAACCTATACTGGAACAGGATACTACACTCTGAGAGGCTCTGGGAGACAGACCCATAGTCTCCTATAGACAACCTCCTAACCTCAAGATGATTCTTACCAACAACCACAGGGCATATCACACTAATACCAACCCTGGAACTTTCCCTTGCAACAAACCCTTGCAACAAGCTTTGTCCATATATTTACTCTGCTGACACCATTATTGGACCTAACCATGCCAGTTACAAGATCAAGAACACATATTCCTGTTCATCTAGAACATCACCTAATAAACCATCTTGTTAGTCCTTAAAGTGCTACATAGTTCTGTCTCTTATAGTATCTGAATGAAAGACTTGCATGATTGAATATTGACACTATTGTTGACAATTAACATCAAACTAAGGATTGTATTAAATAAGAAGGCCCATGACTGTATTTTCTAACCCCTATAGCAGTAGCTCATACCATTCAATGATTAGAAAGATCATGGCAGGCTTTAGTAGCGTTTACTTCGGTCTGTTGGTTTCATTGCATTCTGTAAGACATTATCCTAGTGCTAAAAAAAAAAAAAAAAAAAAAAAAAGTAATTCCGTGTAAAACTGAATACACTACAGACTGAGAGAGAATGCACATGCCATGCCCAAAGATAGAGGGGAAGGAAGTAAAAGTGGTCTGTACTGATGTAAATGGTACTATATATGCTGCTTAAATGTACTAAGCAACTTACGTAGAAACCACAGCTAGAATGTGTGGACTTTGTAGTATGGGGCAACAACTTAATTGATGCAAATATTTATGCTGTATGCACTTGGAAAAACATATTTTAAGTAAATATATCCATATCCCTATTTTCACATTTCTGTAAACCAGGAATGAATATTGCAGGGAACAGACCTGATGAAAGAATATATTTTCTGCACACTGAGATTGTATTTAAAAAAGGCCTCATGATATGTGTGTATATGAATATGCACTAATTATGACTCTGCATGTGTTGATATACATGCATAATATTTATACATATTCTGTGTCCCCTTTGGGAATTGATTGAAGTTGTGGGTGAGTTACAATTGTGCTTCAGGATCATGGGATTAAATTGAAATGGCACTTTACTCATTGACATACGGGCAAGCTGCAGAACAACTGTGAGGCATAGCAAGAAACTTCAAGCAATGCCTATGTGTGTATGTGCGCACACACATGTGCGCGCACGCACGCATACACATAATACATTCTCAATTAACCTGGACAGAATGAGATATTAGACCTTGTAACTGTAGCATTATTATATATAGAAAACTTCTTTTTGATACATTTTAGAAAGCTCTAAAAATAATCACAATCTTGTTTGACCTTTCAATCTGGACTTGTGGTATTAAAACATGATTTTAGAGTTAAAATGATATGACCACAAATCCCCAAAACAAAATGCACACCAAGCAAACACTACCACCCAACAACAACAACACTGTATTTTCTTAAGTTTTTTTTCCTAACAGTTTTTCTGTAAAACATTGTCATATGAAGCCTACATGGTGGTGAAGTATTATAGGTTTTTTGGCACTCATTTAGAATCAACTGCAGAACTGACTTGTGGCTTCAGTAATTTCAACCAATCAACCTTTATATCCTACCATCATGTATCCTCTACATATATATGAGTCAACAGGAGCTGTATGTATACATCAGAGTACACAATTGGGTCCTATATATTATTCTCTCTCTTTCTCTTTCTCTCACTCACACTCACACTCACACTCACACTCACACTCACACACACACGAGATACCCTAAAAACAACAAAATGTATTCTTTTCACAAGTTTGTCTGTCAAGGCCCCAGTCCAAAGGTGTTGAACACCTTCTACTAATGTTGCCTTCATTGAGAGTTAAAGACACTTTGCACCTCATAGGAAGTGCTTTGCACCTCATGGGAATCTTGCAGGATTAAACCCTTACTGAATAGAGGGAAATCTTAAAAGTAGTTTGTGTCTATATAAAAATGGCAGCTTGGTCAACACAGATGATGGATATTCTGCAATATAGCTGCTTATGTTGCTAACTTAAATTTATCCGATTAATTCTTACGTCTCTCAGCACTAGAACTTATACCATCCATCTGTAGGAGAATGCCCTGGATTCTTTCCTAGCATTGGCATCATCAAAAATATGTACTAAGCATGCAATTGCTATTATTAATGATGATACATAAATCAGAAAGAACACAGCTTCTCATTCAGATCCCTGGTTGGCTTAACTGGCAATTGAAGGGGGAAACTTTTTACTCATAAACTGAGTAAATTTGATATAGAAATGACCGAGACACAATAAACATGGAACCCTGTGAATTTCATAGTCACTTTTTCATTAATAATATATTTAAAAGAAAACATTTACATGAGTGCGAAATAGATGCCTTCCCATGATACTCTAGTCTTATTATAGAAAAATAACTGTGATTTACTATGTTAAATTCAATATTTGTAATAAATGTTTCCATTAAGATTGCCCACTGTTACAAGCTGAATCCATCTTAGCAAGCCATAGCAAAGACTAAAAATGCCTCTTTTGAAGTCCACCCTCCAGCTAAAAAATGCATTGTATAAATGAAGATTAGATTATTCAGGTAGCTCAGAAGATGGCTATACTTTCGTTAGGTAGTTAACACAGGCTGATCAGTCTGTGTACTTGTAATTTTTTCTTTCATATTGGTTGCACTTAGTACTAATAAGGTGCATAAACATGTACTTTAGCAGAGTTTGTGCATTTTTCCAGTATCTTTATAAAGTGACTGGTATATTTCTGCTGTGAAGGAAAATGATGCTGCTTTATTAGTGTTAGAGGCCTTAAGTGTATGTCAAATGTCTGGCCTGAACCAATGTCTGTCAGTGTTTGATTCTCTTGTGTTGCTTCGAAGTTTTACATTAACATACAGTTGGCAAAAGGATTAAAAATAGAAAAGTCTGTTCACACTAATCATGATCAACAAATAGTAATTAAAAGGCATGGCTCTGTGTTTAATCCTATTGTACAACATTAGACAACTTTTCCTTTTTAAAAGGCGCTATATCCTGTACTGTGAAATTACTTTGTTGCCAACAGAGTTTGTCATCATTTAATATGTTTCTCTGTCATCTTTTGATATGTGCCTCACTAAAACTTGCCATATACCTCCCCAGTCCAGCCTTTTAAAAAAGAGAGGATCATTGTACTGGGAACTTTTGGTTTGATCCACTTCTTGTATGCATTTGTGTCCTCTTAATGTGACCTGAACTGTGCTGAATGTCTAGGTGTATTTATGTATAAATATATGTGCATAAGAATGTCAGAGGATGTATTTGAAATACTACTATTGTCTAGATTTTTGAAGGAAAGAAAAGTGTTCCAGAAGGAAAACATGAAATAATCTTTTTAATTTGGAAGTTAAAAAAACCATCAAAATTAGAAACTCTTGTTGAGTTGAAACCCTAACCAAGTATAAGTTTATAAATGATGTAGTTCCCTCATAATCTCTGAACAAGGGCATTCTCTCTGAAATTTGAACAAATCTTAAGCTTTAATATAGTGTTTTACTTCCCATTACCAAAGAAATGTTTAGAGGGAAAGACAGAAACTATTAGAAAAGAAACTAGTTAAAATAGTCCAACCAGAATAAACTATTATCTCAGGGCAGTTAAGAAGTACCTACTCATTTGCTACTGTTATATTTTCTGTCTTGCACTGAAAGGAAGCCAATCTTGCTGTGCTAAACAGAGGAAACAGAATTTATTAGAAGCAAGGGAGATATGAGGGCTTAAGGCAAATTCCTTACATAGACGTGGGTAAAACCATGTCAACTTATATAATTTTCCCACGTTACAACTGTGCAATTCATTTTTCAGACTCAATGCAACTGGACAGCCACAATTATTAGGAAAATGAAAGCCCCTTTCAAAATAACGTGCAGGATGACAGATCCGAAGGATTACAGACCTAGACAAGGACTAGCAAAGTCTGTGCTGTATGCCAAGCGACCAAAGACTAAGGGTACAATATAGAGATGTCTGAATTGTGTTTATGAAAGAGTTTAATGTTTGAATATGCACAATAAAATATATGGCACACAACGGGCGTGCACTGTGTCAGGCGTTACTGCTCTCGCGACGCGGCCTCCGAAAGCCTCCTCTCTTCCCCGCCTGCATGCTCCTGGCCGGAGAAACCCCCCCGCGCCGGCAGCCGAGCGCCCACGAGGCGGCTTTGCAGGGCTGGAGGCCCGGCCGCGTCTTGCTCAACACACGCGACAACGCCCCGCCCACCAGCGGGATGGGGTGAGCCGCCGGGGGCGTGACCCGAGCAGCGGTGGGCGGGGCTCGCCTCTCCCCTCTCCATTGCTGCCCCGCCCCTTGGCGCCGGGAGGGAGGTGCAAAAGCTCACGCAGCGCGCCTGCGCTAACCCTTCCCGGAGCCGCGTTGCATTGTGGGGCGGGTAGTCCCTGTTGCGCTGCGGGCCCCGGGCGGCAGAGGCCGAAGAACTATCCACCCCAAGATCCTCGGGCAGCGGTTTCCTCAGGCAGTTGCGCCTGCGCCTCGCCTGGTTCCGGGTGGCGGGGTGACCATGGCGTCGGGGTGCCGGATCGGCCCGTCCATCCTCAACAGCGATCTGGCGGCGCTGGGCACCGAGTGCGGCCGCATGCTGGACTCCGGGGCGGACTATCTGCACCTGGACGTGATGGACGGGTAACTGCCGCCG